TTTCTTTGTTATTTTTTTTGTTAAATATAGAGTAATGTTAAGCGATACGCGTGTGCATTTGTGATTCCTCCGCCTCTGTCGCCTGTTCCTCTCGTGTCGCGCGAAGTAAGGTCGCGCGTCGACACAAGAACCCCGCCGCTCTACCGAGAGAGATAATTTTTGAGAGCTGCCGGCAAGCTCAGCCGTCGCCGCAACGGCGGAGACGAAGTTTTGGCCGTATTCTCGCGTCTAACTAACGGAGAAACGGTCACAAGTTATATTAAGCAAATATTGCACTAACTGACAGCTCAAAATTTAAATTTATACAAATTATTTTCGTTTTCGTCACATATTGAGCAATGCTGCAATTTATTTTTGCGTGTACTTTTGTTGTGTAAAAGTGCTTGTAATTCCGTGCAAGCAACTAGACGTAAACTTTGCAGAAAAAAGTCAATGTTTTTTTTCATGTTCGGCATCCCCTTAACTATCATCTTGAATTCTTACAGATAAATAATACTTATTGAGATTTTTTATTTTAAACAAATTTTATTAAATATTATATATAATATTTACAAGATAACGATATTCATAAAAATATCTGTTGTAGGATCATTTTTATGTTTATAAGTTAAACATTTCGCATGGGAAGTCTTTCACAAATTAAATCCCTTTTGGCGATACCTGTTTGTTCAAGTTGTGCAGCATCCTGACGAAGAGGAATGTTATTTTCTACTTCATTAATTGCATCAATCTCATCCCCTCTTAAAAGACAAATATTATGCATCGCACAACAAGCGATCACAAACATTGGAATTAAATCAAGTCTATCCATTGCAAGGACAGTCTTTATACTGCGAAACCTTGTTTTAAGGAGTCCAAAGCCCTTTCAATTACAATTCTATCTAAAGAATGACAGAAATTGAAGTTTTTCTGTCTAGCAGTAAGATGTCCATTGTCTCTGTAGGGAACAATAAGATTTTCATGCAGTTTATATGCAGTGTCTCCAAGAATATGATAGGGAAATTTCTCAGGGTCCCCCAACCACTCTTGCACTTCTGATAATCGGAATACTCGCTGATCATGCATAGACCCTGGATATCCTGCGAAGCAATGAGTGAAATGTGTTTTATGGTCATACACTGCCTAGAAATTCAGAAAAGAAACATATTAGTCAACGTATAAATTGTAATAGTTAAGCTTAGTTGTATTAATGTTATTTTGACATTAAATTAAACTTTAAACTTTACATTTTTTGCAAATTTTAAGATTTAAAAATTTTTCAAACTTTTAAGTTATGTATGGACAACTTTAAAGTTGTCGTTTTTGCCTTGGCGCAACAAATTTAAAGTTTTAAATTTAGCTTAAAGCTAAAATAATGTTTATGTAACTAGGTCTTAATCATGCAATGAGCTAATCAGACGGGAGCGGTGCACTTGGACACGGTGCATTTGGACACAACCAATCACAGCACCGTGTGATTAGAGACATTTGTAGGGTCCCTTGGAACAGCGACTTGTGATTGGACTGTGTCCAATTGCCCCGTGTCCAACTGATATACACCCAATCAGACTTGCATAGCAGGATAAACATGTCATACTTGAATGGAATGGAATGGTGTCCTTTACGATTCACATATGATGCTGGTTCATCATGAGGAGCTGGAATGTTGATATGTGTACCATCAATCGCTCCAATAACTTTTGGGAAAGCACTTGTAGCTTCAAATCCACCCCAAATTGTTTGAAGATTGTTGCGTGATGGCCACTTAATGAAAAATGGTGCTAAATTATATAAAATCTTTATTACTCGTCGTGTAGCAATGAGTGCAGTACTTCGACTGACATCAAATTTTTCACATATAGACCTGAAAAAAAGACACCTATTAATGACCACAAATATACACAAAGTGAATCTGAATTTTATAAATGGGTGAGATCCAAATGCACACAAACCCAATTGCACACCACCAATCAGTATGTTAATAATTCACAAGATAAAGTGGAGCACCGGTTGGTGGTGTGCAATTGGACCTGTATGCATTTGGGACCATAGATATAATGGGTCTGTTTTTTATTGCTGAACTAGTGTACACTTTTGTAACTTAAAAAGAGATAGATATATACAGGGTGAATATTATATACCGGAACACCTGAATATCTCGAAAACAAAGCGTTGTATAAAAAAATGTTAAATACAAAAGTTGCAGGGTTTAAAAAGATCTATTTTATGATATTAGCAGTTTGACCTTGAGTTGCGTCATAAAGATCAGGTCAAGGTCACAATGATGTTTTTAAATAGATACCCCCATTTTTTATTGTATATTCTTGTAGCTTATCTCGAGAGCTTTCCAAAACACTATACTTAAGTATTTTTTCGTTAAGTACTTTTCGAGTTAAGAGGCTTCAAAGTTACGCTCTTTAGCATTAGCGC